GTACGAAGCTGAACTATATCGAATCGATCTTACCCCCTCTGTTTCTACACCCTCGCACCCCGTGCGCTCATCTAACCCGCCCACCCACGAGATCATGACGGCGGATAAGACCCGTGGGATGCCGTCAAAGGGAGCTTATATTTATGAGACTTTCGGCAAACAAATGGATAAATCTAATATCTTCGAGGCGAAACGGTCGAAGCCGCTTGAGAAACTGGATGTCTGAAGACGTGAATTCAACCATCTTCTCTTGTATGAAGCCTATGATGGGTTTTTCGGCTCCTAGGAGATAAAGTATTATATATAGCTCGGCAGGATTTATTAAAAGATAATAAGGCTATGATATAGAGACAGAGATGACAATATACGGTGATTTTCGATTGCAAATCATTTTTAAGCACGTTCAAAGAAGGAGAGTAAGACATACTATATTTTATTTAATGAATTAATTGAATAGAAAGCAAAGTATCTAGAGAAAATGTATAATTTCTACATGTAGAATCGTAGAATTAATTTTAAATTAATCTAAAAATAAAAAGAATTTTAAATAAAAAATTATTATTATATTTTGATTTTTTACTATTTATTTTCAAAATTTTTTTATAAAGAGCATTAAGTTATTACAATTTTATGTATATATATATATATATCTACATCTGGCACTATTTGAAACGAACGTTCATAAATGTTTATACCATTGTTTTCAGACGTCAAGTTCTTGATTAAGAAATCGATCGAGGCTTGATTAACTCATATACGGACAGATGTTTGACGACCGCAATAACCCAGCCGTAGGTTCGAGCGGAAATGACGCGCGCTTATATAAAGATGGTCACCGATGATCTCACAGAGATGATACGCGGCGATAGCGATCGCTTCTCATGTTATGAAATTGTTTAAAAACGAATATGGGGCTCTCGCACATGCGGCTGGACATCATCGCCCCTAATGACGCCAACTGTCACTAAAAGTCCCTTCGATCGTTTTGCTCGGTGATGTGTCTTAATTGGTCCGCAACTCGGCCGTTATTAACGCAAAAGGCGACAGTAATGCGAATATTATTCACTCGCGCGGCATCTTTTGGCGCAGGTAGCTTGTGGCAAACGCAATTTTACGTTTACGATGTAATTAGTTCGCCAGAAGTCGCAAACTCGAGAAGATAGTATATATATGTATATATATATAAATATATACGCGCACTCGATCGTTCGTATTTTTGTGCCAGGCGATATTTATGAGTATTTTATACCTGTGTGCTTCTCTTTGATCACGATCATCGCGAAGATACATAGACAATCGTTAACGTTTGCGGTAAGGCATGCGTCTCTGCCCTACAATTACCGAGCCATAACTCACTCACTCGCCGCTGCATCTAATTACCAGGCCGATTACAACCGGCAATTCGCTTTAGTAACAATGCCGTGGCTGTTTTATATTTTTTTTCCTCGATTAACGTTATTGCGAATTTATGCGCGATTTATACCGCGCGTATCTTCAATTTATTTTTTCCACGACTGTTCATTAACTCTTTCGATGAATTGCATCGCATGCACGAGTTATCGAGGCTAATAAAAATCACAAGTGTGAAAGAAATAAAAAAAAATATATTTACACAAATCATGTATGCACGTTCTCTAATTTGCGTTCATTATCGCAAGTTTATTTCCCATCGATACTCGCATTGTTATAATGATTAATGCAACCTTGATGCAGAGCGCAGTTGGATTATGCGTGAAGCGTTATTGCATTATCGCCAATACATGATTTGTATCAAGAGACGCGGATGCACCGACGTATCTTAACTCGGGATCAGTCTGGGCCGCGGTTAGCCGTCTAGTGGCATTTATAACTCATCATTATTATTTGAGTTGATTTGAAACACGCGCGAGATAGCCTTCTCTCCTCCTTCTCTTCTCGCTCTTCCCTCTCTCGTTCTTGCATGCGATCGTCGTCGTCGTCATCATCATCATCATCATTCTTACGAGTCGCCGCGCGACTTCGGCAGCTGCCACGGGACACGCACAAGCACGCACTCCATCGAGCACACACGTGCGTGATGTGTAATAAAATTGATCGATATAGGCGATATCTGGATCATCGATCGATTGCATCTTTTGCCGCCTCGAGCGACGAACGTTACGTTATGAATGAACGTGATGGTGACGTTATCAATTAATTATTCAGGATAATTAAATCGTAATCATATGGTTAGTAATAGGAGGAAACGTGTGAACAACTCCGATTACTATGCAGCAATGAATTAATTACCGATTGTGTATTAAAGCAGTGGAGCTCGTTTCACGATTACATCTTCTCTTATGCAAAACGGAAATTTCTGAAATACTTTTCGTTTCTTTTTTTTTTTTTTTAGAATTAAGTCTGAATTAAGGAGAAAGCATAGATAAAAGTGTACGCGCAGGTTTCCTCTTTTACATCGTCAAATTACATGCCTGTATTCGACAAAAAATTCGTCGTTAAAAATTCATACTTGAGAATATCGTATTTTTACATCGTGCTACACTTCTTCTTCATCGCATACCTTTCTCATAATGCGTTAGAAAGCGTGGCACGATTATGGAGAGAAGAAAACAACGCCTGGATCGATTCAGGGGTTTCAAGATACTGTTTCGTGCTGGAACCGAGAGTGTCTATCGAATCGCTGGTACCCCGCGAGTCTCCTTGGTTCTCCAACGCCATCAAAGGCGCCATAAAAGAAGCGGTCGGCGAGGCCACAACACCGGTGGCAGGGGCACCGGGTGAAATTTGTCAGTATTAAATAAATAACCCATAAAGGCGGAACATCAATCCACCGTGGAGGCATTAACGCCCGATATATAGAGGGGGAGGCGAGGCAACGGCTGTTATTTTTCATACACCAGCAACATCTTATATACGAGCGCGCCTATATATTGGCGCTCACGTGTTCTCCTTCTCGCCGTAAAGGAAAGGAGGACCTCCCCTTTCTTCTTCTTCTTCTTTCTTTCTTTCTTCTTCTTCTTCTTCTTCTTCTTCTTCGAGGTTTTTACGACCCATGGTATGTTGGATCGTATCGCCGAGTTACGCCGTAGATCAAAAGTGATGTGTCTATTATGACGTAAATACTTAAGATCCCTCGAGTCTCCGTTATGGTCTCCGACCTGGCCGAAGCTTCGTCTCGATATGTACGACGCTACGCGATTCGGACCCCTTCCTATATAAGTTTGCTCCGGAAATTTTGTATTATACATACAGTATCTCGCAAAACAAAAAAATAAAACGCAGAATAAAGTTTTGCCCGTGCAAGATACAAGACCCTTCGAAATCGTATATTAATCATAATTTTCTCTATGATATAAACTCGCTTTTATCGCGTTGCTTTGAATAATTATCGAGCAATATCGATGCAGTTATACATTGAATGGGGCAATAAGGGACCACCGTGGATGGTCTCGCGGCGGCGAGCTTTAATCCGGTACACGAGAAGACGCGCGCGTGCGATGAGGCGATACGCACCCGCGAGGGAAGAGCTAAGAGCGAAATCTCGGAGCAGAAGGACTGCTCCGACAGCGGAAGGGCCGCCGGGATGGGAGAGGCAAAGGTTGCGGCGACCGCCGCCACATACTGTCGATACAAGGGGTCGATTGTAGCTTGAAAGGCACCGCCGATCCAAACCGCATTCGGCGGTTTAACCGGTGCACGGGGATCGCACAGTGGCCGACTTGTGCGAGTCGCTCGCGCGATACCGATTCCGATGCCGAGATTACGGCGGATTTCGCGCATCGCACGAGGCCCATCTCGAGGGGGAGGCTCTGGGGAGGCTTCTGAAGAGGGAGAGAAGAGGCCGGCTGCGCAATGCGCACCCGCTATTAGCTTCGGCTTTGATTGGCGGCGTTTAATGAGCCGGACGACACGCGTATAAATTACCGCATGCTGCTCATCTTTGAAGATATTTCGAGACGGGAGGATTCCTTTCCTCCTCGGCGTCGCGCCGATCTCTCCCGCGTGTTCCCCGTATTTTGCCATATGTATCGCCAAATACCATCGCCGAATTTCGACGAGTTCGTCTTCATGCGTTCTCTCATATGCGTTAGAACACGCATGCCTTGGCGACAGATGAATGGACGCGAAAGAGAAAATGTGTCCTCTCGTAAATTATGACGTACGAATTAGCGACGAAATTAGACATCCTTTCGAATAGCTGGGGAAAATTATATTGAAATAATCTTTAATAAAATATACATATACTCACGATATTACATGTATAAATAATTTTTGTTAAATATCCATTTTTTATAATCATTTTTCTGATTAAGTAATAGAAAGAATAAAATGAGAAAAAAAATTATTTTCCGTAGAACTTTTTTTGTATATATTTTGCATATGTCATAAGAGTAGTTTCTATGGCTACCAAAAAGTAAATAGATTTCTGTTAAATCAATATTTCTAGTTTCAGTCAGATGAGGGCATTTTCACGTCAGACTTCAATTGTCTTTTCGGGATACCGTCGTCGATATCTATCTGCTTATACGTATAGGTTAAATCGTAAGAATTGAACAACTCAGAAATGAAACGATATTGAAAAGCATGGTATTCGTGAAAATTAAAGATGTCACGTATGTATTTGTAAAAATGTCCTGAAAATTATGTCAACATTTTTTAATGCATTTTTCAATGGTTCCGTTTGTGGTAAGCAAATTTTTCTCTATCTATAAATATTAATTTATATAGAGATTTATATTAATAATACATTTAATATAACGTTTCAGAAAAATACTGATATAGCATGAACATGAAATAATTTTCTTAATAATCATAACCAAATTTTAATTAATTCGGAATATCAATCAATCATTTTATCGTATATTTGAATTTACGTTAAAGTCCAATATAAATCAGAAAAAATTCTTCTTAAAGGATTTTCACATTCACAAATGAATTTAACTGAGAAGTTAGACCAAATTTGTTACAATAAGAAAAGTACAGAATATTCCGATATGGAATCGACACAGTTCTATTCCAACATGTCTACTTCGTTCGAGATGTATCTGAGAATAAAACCGATGTCAACGGAAACGAAAGAAGGGGAAAGCATTTATCAGATACTCAATCCGTCGACTCTTCTAACGAAACTTCCATCATTCGAAAGTAATGTTCGAAATTCATCGAGCAAGGACACCGTCAACAGGCACGTTTTCACGAAGATCTTCGGATCAGAAACTTCACAGGCGGAAATGTTCGAGCAATCCATAAAACATCGGGTTGGGGAGTTCCTCAATGGTAAAAGTTCGACCATTATGACTTACGGTACAAGAGATTCCGGGAAAACTTATACGCTGTTCGGCACGTCCACGTCACCCGGTATAATAATGCGTAGCATTCAGCTCGTGTTTTCAAAGAAAAGATGTTGCCTTTTAACGCCGAAGTTCAAGTGTCAAGATAGTTTTTATCGGAATACATGTAGACCATATTATAGAGAGAGGAAAACATTTCGATCGAGTTCGGAGATAATTATACAGCAGATGTCAACAGAAGAAGCCACGAAATTTTTGGAGAACTCGCAGCCGGAGAATCTTTGTGATGGATGCAAAAAGTGCGAAAATTTGGCATTGAACAAGGTGTGGTTATCCTTTGTGGAAATTTATAACGGACAAATTTACGATCTGTTGGATGAAATGGACTCACCATTGAGATTAGTCACGGACGAAAAAGGCAAAACTTATATTGTTAGTTCGCAGATGTATGTCAGAACTGCGTTGGAAGCTTGTCAGATTTTCTTGACGGGCCAATCGAGAATGAGAACAACTGCGACGTCATCGAATCCAAGACGCTCTCGATCGCATATTATTTTTAAAATAAATCTAATGACAGATATTGATTCAAGCAAAAAGATATTTAGTACTCTTACTTTCTGTGATTTGGCCGGCTTTACGCAATTTGAAACGTATCAGAAAAATTCAGATTTGCACGAAGCTAGCTTTATCAATAATAGCTTGTTGGTACTTGGCAGATGCTTTAAAGCTGTGAGTGAAAATAAGGTGGCTCCCTTTCACGAATCAAAATTAACGAGAATATTCCAATCTGCTCTTTCCGGTCAACAAAATCTGACTTTTATAGTAAATGTCTCTTTTACTCCGAATTTGTATATTGAAATGCAAAATATTTTTGATTTCTGTGACGTAGCTAGAAAGTTAATATTGATTGATACATACAAAAAATATAAAGATTGGTATGATTGTGAAGTAACCGATTCAAAAACATATAATAATAATGATATTTCAACATTATTAATTCGTTCATGGTCTGAACACGAGGAGAAGATTAACTACACCGCTTGGGAAGCGTATAAAAATATACAAGAACAAAATAAAAAGTTAATGAAAGAATTGGAAACTACAAAAAATGATATTATGAATCGCGAATACGCCATTCGAAAGCTGACCTTCGAGTTAGCTGACCATTATTCACGCATGATTGAAGAGATGAAGGCAACCTATAAGAAACACACCCAGGAGATCGAAACTGGTGATTACATCGAGGACAGTCACGCGCTTTATGAAGAACTCGCGACTGAAAATGCGCAAGTTACTTCCGAGATGACGCTTTTGAAAGAAACGATGAAGAAACTGAAAGATGAGAATAAAACGATTCTCTGCAAAAAGAACAAGTGCAGCTTCGAATTGGCGTTAATAACAAAAGAATTGATAAAGTTCCGACAGCTCATGCAACTTAGGATTCGTAAATGGAATAGCAATATTGAAAACGATCCCGATCATCTTGTAAACAACCTGGAACGCTTGTATAAAGAGATAAAAATGACCGAGACGAAGCTTAAAGAGATTAACGAATATATTTGCGCGACGCAGAACGAAAATATTGAAGCCGCTTCCAAAGCTGTAATAATGAATCAAGAATTATCAAAATCGGAGGATCTCTCGAACGATACCTCGAGTAAGATTAAAGAATTGGAGGAGAAACTTTTGCGCCAAGAAATTGATATCGTAACGCTGACAGATCGTATGCAGATGCAAGAAAAACAGTTTGCTGAAACTCAACAGTATTTGAATGATATGAAGAATCAAAAATGCAAATCTGATCGATCGACAAACATCTCATTTCATGATTATGCAATCGATAGATTTTTGGAGCATGATAACGTACTTGCTTCTTCTGCAGAGAAAAATTCTCTTCAGACGCATATGAGTTCATCTACTAAAAACAAAAGCAATTTTGACAATTGGATTGTCGTTCCAAAATTATTTGCAACTTCAACGCGTGCAGAATCAGCGGAAAAGAAATTATCGAACATTTCTGACACCGATCACGGAAGCTTCTGCGAAAATAGCGATAGTATAGATTGCAATATTTCAAAATCGAGCGATAGCAGCAACAAAGATGATTCAGGTGTGAGCAGCGAACAAAACGGAAGTGGAAGATCTATCAGCGTATGTGATAGTTCATATAGTCACGACAATGAAGACACTCAAACTTGCCTCATCGGGAAAATACTATTCTGACAAAACAGTGCAGCACAGATTCGAAGAAACAAGAAGAGACATTACATATTACCGAATTATCTAAAAATTTAGAAACCATCAGAGATGTGATTTACACCTTAAATGAAGCAGCTTGTGTAAACGAGCGCAAGATTGTTCAGCATGAATGTCAATTACTGCATGAAAAAGAAGTACAAATACGATCGAACGAAGAGAAGCAAGAAATTGCAATCAAATGCGATGTTTTGTCCGAGATAACAGAGGATAAGATGCAAGAGTATAATAAGGGCAAAATTAATGAACTGACTCGCAAATTGAAAATTAACAATCAAGATCAAATTGACAGTCAAGACGACATAATTCGTTTGAAGATGCAACTAGAAGATAAAGATTTAGAAATATCTCTGTTTAAGAATTGCATGGATGCCACAATACAAAAATACGAGATTTTAGTGAAACATCTTCAAAATAAAATAAAAGAGAAAGATAAACAATTTAAAATTGTTCCAAACAATTTAAATAATTTGGAAAAATCTTTTACTGAAAACAGTGAAATAACATTATCCGAGATCGATGCTTTACCTGAATTTAAACCAACTGAGGATCAAGATACGTCAAGACAGTCGATAGAATCTTTAAAAGTCGATGAAACCGCTGAAATCGATGATTGCAGTTTAACGGATAGTATCTGCTTAGTACCTAAATATGTTAATTCAGGAGAATTAGATATATCATCAGTTCTAAGTAAAGATTCCACGGCTTCTTTCAATGAAAAAGATGAAGGCAGTATTGAAATCGAATTTTATCAGGTCTGTTCACATACAATATATATAATATTTATGTACAAAGAGCAAATTAATAATTGATAATAATATATAATTGTTATAGCCAGAACTTTGAAAGTTTTTGACTAAATTAAAATATAAAAAAATTAAATTATTAATATATTATATTATTATATATATACAGTATTATATTAGAATACATTAAAGAATTTGAAATATATATTTTTATAATAAATTCGTAAGAAAATATAAATCTACATATATAATATCTCATATAATATATTCAAAATTTTTAGATAGCAGTGTAATATCAGATGTATTTGGATGCAAAGCTGATAGTTCTGAAACGGAAGTTAATTTCAGTATAAGATCGCCAAATACCAAAGACAAGAAAAAGATGTTAGAATAGATGGAAGTTAGGAAAATCCATGACAAAACTGCACTTTGTTATTCTACAGTATAGGTAAACGTGCATATTTCAATAATAATTCTCAGAAGTAGAAATATGTCAGTAATCACAACTATTGTATACAATTAATGTTAAGAATAACGTATTGTATGACATTTTTTAAATAATTTTTAAAATAATTTGTCATTTACGTTTTATATCGTTCCACTGAATGTTTCGTTCATACAACTTTAAATACGTGTCATACGTACTTTGTTAAAGAGAAAAAAATCGTGCATGCTTTAAATGCTATACGTTTTAATTCATTGGATTGTATTGTTTTCTCGTTTTATACATATTTAGCTTATAAATTAATAAACTTTTATGCAATCTCTCGACATGGTCAACTAAAAAGTGATACAAATTTATTGCAACCAGAATATGTATTAAATATTAAAGCTTAAAATAGTATCTGAAATTTGTGATAGTATATCGTGCAATTTTTATAATATTATTTTTATCATTTCATAAACGCATTATTAGATGTGTCAATATTTCACCAAGATATTAATAATGCTCGTAAGAGGCAATGGCGCGATTATCGATTGGGAATGTTATCGGTTATATCAGACGTTCTCTCCCTCGAGACAAGATCGTGTGTAATGGCAAAACGTGGTTCCGACATTCGTTACAATAAGCGAACCACCTCCCTAAATAGAAGCGGCGACCGTGTTGAGCTCGCTCGTACAAGGGTGGACCCCGCTTCGGATTTTATTGCCAATATGCTATAATTTCTAACATTAGATGCCGCTGACGCTTTCGTCCGCTCATTACAACCCACCCCAAACCTAAACGTGATCTTCCCGCGAAAGTGGCCGCTCTGTCCTTTCGCGGATACTGATAGATGAAATTATGAGGAGGGACATCGAAATTGGACCGCGAACCTCCACTTTGCGCAATCTTTCGGCTTCTGATGATATTGCCGAAATGTGCGACGCGATAAGGGGACACGAATAAACGAAAGGAAATCGCACAGAAATTTGCAATCTGCGCTTTACATTAAAAGCACTGAAAATTCTTTCGCTAAATGTTCTACAAAAAAATCTTTTTTTTATTTTCGAAATAAAGCAAGATAAAATATCTGTTTTATATAAAAATATTAAGAGGATTCTCTGAAGAAATCTTTTTAGATGAAAAATATTGCGGACATATAATATTCAATTCTAAATTATATTGACAAAAATAAACGTATTCCTCATTAATAATTCGCAAGAATGATCAATCTGTCCCCTTAATTCACAATGAAAGCCACCACGAGTGATTCGCGAAATGGCAGATCGCAGTGGCTATTTTCGCCAGCTCACCTCTTCGTCGCCGGTGATTTCTCGGGGCAAATGTACCGCGAACTTTCCTCTTTCAATTGGCAATAAGATTTGATCGTTGCGGGAAATATCATCCAATTTCCTTTCTCTCTTGGCCCGAACATTCCGGCCGTTCGTCCACCTACTCACGTTCGCCCTCTAACTTTGCCATCAACCACCCTCTTTCTGTTATCCTTTACACGCCCGGTCGCAAGATATAAAGATGGCGAAATCATCTCTTCGATCCGCCAGTTGGAAATGCACCGGTGCAATATCCGCGTCGATTCTCGTTCACGATACGTCTAAAACTTTATATATTATTTGATATGTGACATTACACGTTATCGATTTTTCCTCGTTGATAAGAAGTAGATTTCTCTTTTTCGATCAATTTTATTTTCTAATTATCTTTCAGCAAAAATAGACGTAAAAAATAAGATTAGATATTAAAACAATGAATAAATTAATACATGTTATATAAGTGTCAGATATTTAATTTTCAAAATAATTAAATTAGATAGAAAAATGCATAGAATTTGTATTATTGAGCAACAGTTGTAAAAGTTCAAACCAAGCTCGGGACAGCCGACTTAAGGTATACATGCTAAAGGTTGAGTGAACACTCGGGAGTCGTAATCGGGTAAAAGGGAAGAAAGTTACTCCGGGTAAAGTTTCCTCGAGACATTAGTTTATAATTCGGCAATCCCGGATCAGTATTTGTCACGATTAGCCGATCTCTCCTCCCTTTCCCTTCCTTATGGGCGGAATATCTGTTTCTGGGGAGATCTCATCCCTTTCTTCACCCCTTCTTCGTAGATCCCGCGCGAGTTTTCATTAATTTCGCCCAATCCTGCCGAACTATTGTCGTAGTTACGCACAATTTCGACACGACAATGCCCAGCTTTCTCTGGGATTGACGTAGACGAAGGGAGGAAAGCGGACGAGAGAAGGAGAGGCCAAGCCTGTAAGGAGTTATAACGATGTCGCGTGGGAAGGGTAAGAAGTTCTCCGCGTTCAAAGTCCGGGGTGGCATGGATTATATTTCTCGTGTCATTTGCCTTCTGAGTTAGACCGATGACGTTTCGCCTCGAGTTTCTCCGTGGAAATCTTGCTACGCGAAGCGAGAAGAGACTCGGCAAGAATAGAGTTTGATAGAAAGGATTTCGATACAAATTGGAGAACTTCCATTCGTATCAGTAGAATAGTGCACGTTATAATCGCACGAATTATGTGCGTTTTATGTGACAAGAGTATTCTTTTCATTAATCTCATATTTTCTTGATTATCATCATTATTAATCATAGAAGGATTTTGAGAGAAAGAGCGGTAAATTATACATATAAAGAGTAAAAAAACGCATTGGTCGCAAACACGTTTGCAAAATGCATGTTTACGATATTGTATAGTGAAAAAAAAAAAAAATACGCATCGTTGCGCCTGGACAAATATGGCACTCCTGCGAAAACTTTGACTTCGATATGGCCACTTTTGTCAACGTCGAACAGTATCTTAAAAATTAGCCCCACGGGATTTCGAGGCGAGAAGCTGCTGCTGGTTGCCAGCGCAGACGTAGACATTGAAAGCACACATGTATGTGTGTGCGTGCATGAATGTTTGTACGTGTGTGTTTGTGTATGTGTGATTTCGCAAGGATACAAGAAGAGTCGGGCAGAATCGTCTGGACCCATTTGCAACGTCACCCGGACAATTTCCAACGGAAGAACTTCCATCTTCGAGCTTCGGGGGTCGGACCCGCGATATTAGAACAAACGATTTCATCTACTACGTCCTCATGTCTCTCTCTCCCCAAGATCCTTTCCTACTACATTCTGTCGACGAGATCTACACGCAAGCCTAGATACAGAGACGATTTCATAAGAAACATTTTGCAGTCCGTAGGCATAGAGAGATATCTAGCTATTCTAACATAATTAAATTAACATTTTGCTAGACAGTACAAAAATTTATAACAAAATTCTTATAAAATAATTTAAAATAATTAAAATAGTCAAAAATAATTTAATCTAAGAATAAAATGACTCATGTGTGGGAATAACTAAAAATGATTTATATTACTCTATATGATACGTATAAATTATTTCGCGCGCGTTCTATTAATCCATATAATTAATTAATTAGGCTCAACTTTCAAACAATTGTTTTCACGAATAAATGTATCGCCACATGAAATCGAACTCGTCAGTGATTTCTCTAGTAATATCGTGGCAAGAGGTACGAGAATAGGTATTCGCGGTTATTCGCAGCGTTTTCATGCAGATACTGTGGGAGCTTCCCCGGGATTAAATACAGCGACGCGCGTCCGGACGATGACTGCCGCGTCGCGTCGCGTCGCGCTGGATAAATCGCGATTGCGTAATATCGCGAGTGAAGCGAGTAGAGAATTGCGTAAAGGCAAATACGCAATAGACTACCTGAACGCCGCGCACGTATTGTATGATTGTCTCCGTTCTTCGCCTCTCCCCACTTCTCCAGACCGCCCCTTGTCCGCCCTGCCGCGTCGCGTTTCGCAGGAAATGCCTGTCTTGCATTTCCCGGCATTGTAACCACCCCGTCAGCTTCGGAGTATTGCCAGCCTCCACCACGTTTGAATTGCATTACCTATTATTGCTTATTGTTCGGCGTCCGTTTCGTACGTTACGCTCCCTTTCTCTCTCCCGAACTTTCCCTCCTTTCCATTCCTTAATATTTCCTTTTTGTCGACTCGTCTTCGTTCCTCACACCTAGCTCCTTACATATTTTGCCGTTGATATAACAAAATATGTATTTTAAATATCAAAATTAATTTCTTTAAGTAGAAGATGCGTTCTATACGTCGTTCGCATTTGTAGATATTTGCCGATATCGGAAAAAATATGGTCCAACCATGGATTCGTGCGATTTATTCTCGTTCATCGACTTTTATATGCTAAAAACATACCGAATCAGATTCGACCGACCTGGCCTGGAGCGACTACCGCGCGATCCCTTGGCACAACTTACTGAGATTTTATTCGCTTTTACATATGAGCAGACGATAAGGAAACCCGTGATATTTCACGTTTTTATATGCGGCCGCATTTATGCCTTGAGGTGTTGGCCGGTTTGCACGCGCCCTCCATATAGAAATGTTATACGCCCTGGGGCCTGTGTCTGATATGCGAAATAAGTAACCCGAGGCGTCAAAAAGACTATAGTCTCGTTAACTCGACATCGTAATCCTGGACTATATCCGCGAAGATCGCGATTTTCTTTTCCCTACGATCGTCTCTAACTCTATCGCTTATAACATCGAGATTCTTATCGTTGAAAGCCTCATCTTTGCGCTTTTAAAGTGCTATTGTAAAGACGTAATTATTTGACTGTAAAGTTATAAAATAAAAATACATATATCTACTTATATATCTCGAACTGACAAGTTTCTATTTCGTTTAAATATAAAAAAAAAAATTTGTCACATACGTAAAAAAGTAATAACTCATACGTATAACTTCTGAACATTCTTCTATATCAAGATACTATAACTCTTTCGACTGGTTAGGTTGTAAAAATTTTTGATGGTCGCACGACTGAAAAAGATCATATACAAGTTACAGATCGCGAATACAGAAAGGGGCACGTGTGCGACCCGGTTTATGTACGCCTATGTGATAATATGACGTT